AACACCCTGACTTTTCGTATTCGTTTGACACGTGGAAAACGACCATTATTGGATGTAGAAGCCGAGGAGCACTACATTTACAAGGAACCGAACACTATTCAGCAGGTACACGGAATTTGGAGAAGAACCCGCCTTGCAATGCCGAAGACAATTTGCGCGTCGGACTCATCATCATTGAAGCCTGGTTCAGGGGCTATTGAGGGAGTCCTGGATTAGGGGGTGTCCAGATAGCCGGACTATACCTTCGGCCGGACTCCTGGACTATGAAGATACAAGATTGAATACTTCATCCCGTGTCCGGAAGGGACTTTCCTTGGCGTGGAAGGCAAGCTTGGCGATACGGATATGTAGATCTCCTACCATTGTAACCGACTCTATGTAACCCTAGCCCTCTCCGGTGTCTATATAAACCGGAGAGTTTTAGTCCGTAGCACGAACAACAATCATACCATAGGCTAGCTTCTAGGGTTTAGCCTCTCTGATCTCGTGGTAGATCTACTCTTGTACTACCCATATCATCAGTATTAATCAAGCAGGACGTAGGGTTTTACCTCCATCAAGAGGGCTCGAACCTGGGTAAAACATCGTGTCCCCTGCCTCCTGTTACCATCTGACCTAGACGCACAGTTCGGGACCCCCTACCCGAGATCCGCCGGTTTTGACACCGACAGCGTGGGAGGGGCGAGAGCCCCTCCGAGATTGGATTCGTATCTCTGTCTCTCTCTCTGTTTCTGCGTTCTCACATTCTGCCCTTTAACCGTTTCTTATATTTCTGGAGATCCGTAACTCCGATTGGGCTAAAATTTTAACACGATCTCTTTCCGGATATTAGCTTTCTCACGGCGAAAGAAGGGCATCAACCGCCTTACGGGGTGGCCACGAGGGCCCAGGGCACGCCTGACCCCCTGGGGCGCGCCCCCTACCTCGTGGCCCCCTCGGGCATCGTCTCATGTTGATTCCTCTTCCAAAATATCACATATATTCCAAAAAAATCTCCGTCAGTTTTTATCCTGTTTGGACTCCGTTTGATATGGATTTACCGCGAAACAAAAAACATGCAACAAACAGGAACTGGCACTGGGCACTGGATCAATATGTTAGTCCCAAAAAATAGTACAAAAGTTGTCAAAAGTATATGAAAGTTGTATAATATTGGCATGGAACAATCAAAAATTATAGATACGATGGAGACGTATCACAGCGCCACCGCCAGATCGGAGCCTCGTCACCACCAAATCGGAGCCATGCCGCTGCCAGGGAGGAATAGGAGACGCGCACATGGAAGGCCCCACCACCGGCGGCACTGCCCGGGCTTCACCCGGCAGAGACCCTCGGTGGCGGCGAAGGAGAGGGGATGGAGGGGAGGACGGCAGCCTGCGGGACTAGGGTTCCCCTGTGCCGGCACTATGAGCGACACGGGGGTCGGGAGTATGGTCCATAACTAAAAATATATGGTAAACGCCAAGATGTTTTGAAATAAAATGAAAAAAATATGGATTGGTGAACCTTGGCATATAGGTAGATATGGTTCATATTTTGCCATATGCTTTACATTGATCTAGCCATACTTGCCATGTGCCCTAGAACTAACCATAGAGTTTCTATATTTGAGTTGCTTTCATAAAAAGGTTGTTGTGCCTCTCCTGCATGATGGCTTGGCAATTTTGCCATGAAGTTT